GGTAACACTGGCCTAGATGAATGTGAAGCTGCTATTCTCAATGTATCCACAAGGTGGGGATATTCCCTCTAAGCATCTTTTCATTCAAAACTTAAAAATGCCCCGAAATTCCATTCTGCCACTTCTCCTTCCAGCTGATGACAGAAAATACCTTTGGGGCTTGTCTTTCCAGGGAGAACAGCTTTACGGGGAAATTCTGCAACTTTTCCAACTTCTGCAGCCTCCCTGGCTGAGAGAGGAAATATCGGCTTGCAGAGTCCTCTCTCCAGCGCCCTGCAGCCCCCCTGGCTTCCCCCCATCTGTCCAATCCCGGGGAGAAGGAGGGTCTTCCAAGGGGGAGGGGCTTATTCAGAGCGGAGCAGCCAGGGATGCTGCAGAAGGTGGAAAAGATGCAGAACGAGGCTGAACACTAAAGGACCCTCCCCCAGGAACTGAAAAGAAACGATCTAGCGTCCTGCCAGAAAGATAGACGTCTATTTGCATGAAAGGCAGACATCTTTATCACCCTATCTCTTAACTGCCACCATTATGCTAGAGAAAGAGGTAAGGGAGGGCAATACTGATTTCAACAGGGTCTGGTGGCTGGTGAAAACAGAAACCGCTGTCAGCCCTTCGAGGTAGGCCAGCGCAAGCAGGAGGCACAACAAGGATCTGTGGAATGCTCCTTTATTGTTGCAGGGAGCCTAAATTTCTCTCTGTCTCCTCTTACTCTAAACAAAACAAGGCAAGGGCGTTGGGAATGCCTTTCCCATGCTTGTTTTAACCTCTGGACTTGGTGATCTCTAAATGGCCCTTTCCTTCCCCAGCATCGGCTCAAAATTCCTTTGCAGGTGGCCCGTATGCTCTCTTGCTGGGAGCCGGGCGGCATAGAACTTTAATAAAATTATCATTTCTTTACTCTCCCCCCGTCACCCGTTTTAGAAAGGTAGCCGTTTGCCTCGCACTGAACTGGTGGCTTGTCGGTTGCAGCCCGCAGCTGTTCCCTAAGACTTCAAGCAGACAAACACCTAGCCCCGTCTGGCGCCTGCATTTGAGTGATCTTTTGCGTGTGTGTCTGTGAGTGTCTTGGAGTCAGCCTTGACTCCTGGCAACGGCCTGGACAAGTCCCTGCAGTTTTCTTGGCAAGATTTTGGAAGTGGTTTGCCGTTGCCGCCTCCTTCCTAGGGCTGCGAGAGGGGACGGCCCAAAGCCCCCCAGCTGGCTTCGTGCCGAAGGCAGGACTCGAACTCACGGTCTCTAGCCTGGTGCCTTTAACGACATCAGACTGGCTCACGGAGTCATCTCTGTGTGCGCGTTTTTCTCGCCCGCCTGGCTTAACTCTCAGTTTCTTCCAGGAGAAACACTTCCGTGGATGAGAACTACGAATGGGACTCCGAGTTCGCTCTGGAGTCGGATTTGCTGGATGCCCTGCAACTCTATCGGAGCGGAGACCCCAAAAGGCCCATTTCCACCATCGCGGCCCATGAGTTGGAGAAACAGAGTAAGCAGGCAGAGCTTGTAGGACAAGGAGCATTCAGAAAGGAATAAATGATGCACAGCAAGCTAAGCTCATTGCCCCCCGTTACATCAGTTGAGCCTCTTATATGTCTCATGGAGGGAGCTGCAGCTTACAAAAGCTGGCCCCTTTTAATGAAAATTGTGACAGGTAGTCCTCACTTAACGACTACAATAGGGACTGGGAAATTCGTTGCTAAGCGGGGTGCTTGTTAAGCGAGTCGCGCCTGATTTTACAACCTTTTTTGCAGCGGTCATGAAGCGAATCACGCAGTTCCCCATTGATTTTGCTTGCTGGAAGCCAGCTGGGAAGGTCGCAAATGGCGATCATGTGACCTTGGGAACGCTGCAACCGTCGCAACTGCGAGCTGGTTGCCAAGCAGCCGGATCACAATCATGTGACCGCAGGGGTGCTGCGATGGTTGTAAGTGCAAGGACCAGTTGTAACTCCCTTTGTTCAGCACTGTTGTAATTTTGAATGGCACTAAACGAATGGATGTTAAGTGAGGACTCCCTGTAGTTGGAAAAGGTGCTTCCAGACTCCTCCTGATACTGAACTAAGCTGGGATCTGGTGGAGAACAGACATCACCGGAAGTGGGATAGGCTGGCTTCTGAATCTGGCAGCCTCCTCTAAATCCCACCTTTTTGAATTAAGTTTCTAGACCTCATGGATGTAAGGTTCAGTAGTATTCAGGCAGTATTCGTTGAAAGGTCCAGAGCTAAGAAAGACGGAAGTGAGGTTGAGCCAATCTGGTCCAGGCTCCCTTCTTATCTCATTTTTTCTTTGCCCTCTGATATGCCGCCCAAAAAATTGGCTAATTAAAACGCATGATGGGTTGCCCCAAAGGATGGGGTTAGTGTGCCTTGAACCGGCGTCTTCCTCTCCCTCTCCTTTTCAGGCTCCAAAGGTTCGACCGAATCCAGCAGCACTTCCCCTTCCAGTTCACAATCGGTCAGCGCCTTGGATGGGTCCGTCTCTCCCCTGCCCTTGGCCAGCCCGGAGGAGCGCTGTGCCGCCCTGCGCAAAGAGTTCCTGGCTTACCGCCGTCGGCGAGAAATGATCCAGCAACGGCGGCAGAAGATGGAGCCCAGCGGAAAGGATGAGCGATTTGAGCAAGCCACATTGTTCTAAAGCAGTGATTCTCAGCCTTGGCGACTTTAAGATGGGTGGACTTCAACTCCCAGAATTCCCCAGCCAGCTAATTCTAGGAGTTGAAGTCCACCCATCTTAAAGTCGCCAAGGTTGAGAATCACTGTTCTAAAGGAACAGATCTCCCCTCCCTGGGTTTTCCTGGGCTGATCTGCCTCCCATCCACCAGGGGGCAGATCTGGGACCATGTGGGCTCTGTTCCTGGAAGGAAACACTGCCCTCTAGAGCCCTGTGGGAGAACTGCTTCGGACTCCAAACATCAGACAGTTCCAAAGATGCTGGGCGATTTTTTTTCCTGCGATTTTTTCCAAATCTCTGGAGTATTTTATCCAGGCAGGAAGAAACATACCTTGACACAAGCCTTGTGTGTGTGTGTGCGTGTGTGTGTGAAAATCAACACGCTTGGTTGATTTTCAGCTGCATTGTAGAGCAGAGGAAGCGGGTGGTGGGCTTTTTGGTAAAGGGGGGCTTTGGTGAAAAAAAGGACCTTGTACCCAATGTTGGTGTCTTGTAAATCCTTGAATATGGAACAGCACGCAATTTAAGAGCTGCGCTGTGAAAAGACGGAACTGGGCAAACGGCACATCCAGGAGTAATTTGACAATTGGTCTGGAGGCTTTTTTAACGGTTGGGGACCAGAAGAAGCTCGCCAGAGTTCATGGGGGAATTCTCAGCTTGCATGGAGAAAGGATCCAGAACGTCACCCAGGACAAGCAGAATATGAATCGGGTGATGCAGCCGTCAAAAAGGCCTGTGTCCTTTTAGGTTGCCAGCCAAGGACGGGGGCGAACTCTGAGTCACAAAAGATGCTCCTTCTGCTTTGTGATGTGTTGCTCCGTTCGCATTTCGGGTTGGGCGCCGGTCAGCATGATCAGCAGCGTGGAAACGTATTTAGGAGGAGGAGATCCTTCGTGACGGCAGTCAAGTATGCTTGGAGTTGACTTAACCCCATCTGGGGAACTGGTTGACTGTGGTTTATGGCACTGTGAACTCACCCCGCTGTGGTTAACTCCAACCCTGGGCAAAATGTGCGAATTTGAGCAGGACAACCTGAAGGGTTTCGTAAGATTAAGAGGTTATAACGTTGAATGAACCGAGGTCTGCAAAGGCCGTATAAAAGGATCGTAACACCCAGAGCCAACACGGATCCGGTTGCTCTGTTTCACACTCACTAAACTGACCGGGTGGCCCGTGGCACCGAGGTTAATGTTGGTTCTGCTTTCTTGCGTGCTTCCCCTCCCTTCCCTTCCCCAGCAGCGGCTCCTTTCGATTTGGGGTGGGGCTGTCTCCAGAGGTGACTAGACTAGACGCCCAAGCTGGTTCCAGTGGGAGCTTTGGGGGGGGATATTGTGTCATAGGGAATTGCATAGCTGGAAGCTGACGCATGCCTTGAAAGGAATGCAGCGTACAGGGGAATGGGGGCACCGCTTCTGTTTTCAACTTGCTGTAATTCTTCTTTGCTTAATCTTCTCCTGGCCCGCCTTCCGCCAGAAAAACAGCATTAGCTAGCTTTCTGCGCACCCTGAACGGGCTAGAAAGGGGGGTTCTCTCTCCAAACTCCGTTGGAAGGCTCGCGTTTAAACCCATTTCCCTGCCACTCGCAGAGCCAGGATTGACGGTGGATGACCCAGCGCTGGGGGGGGGGGGG